ATTAATTTGCATTAGTCAATCAAACAGTCTTCTTTCTTTGAGAGCTACAGAGGTTGGTATTGTCAAAGATAAAACCAACACCTTGTAGAACCTGCAAAATGGATGTCATTGTGGCATACTTACCTAATTAGAGGTGACCATAACAATTCATCTGAAACATGTATGCCCAGCCCCAAAGAAACTATATGAAAGTACATAAGCCTTCATGTGGGACCCAACCACCCCCTTCAATTAAAGTAAGGTTGACTTGGACCAATCTGTTGCACTGAGAATAGATGTTGACTCCATCTACCTTACTTGGATTAGGTGTGAGGTGATGTTAAGGGCTGTGATTGAAGACAATATGATGGGTTCTGACCCCAGGATCATAAAACTAAAACATTTCTTATTAATTTTATAAAAGCTGTAAGAAATGTTAAAATAATGAAAGGCTGTGTAAAAGAGGTTAAAGGTTATAACAAATAAGGTTGGGAAATGTTAAGAATAATGAGAAGAGTCATGGTCTTGTGTGGGCTCTTCTTGTGATCAACTCATTATAAAAAGAGTAAAATTTCCTCTTCCAAGAGCTTAGTTAAGCCCAGTATTGTTCAAGAGTTCAGAATAGTTCATAACTGTTTCTAATAATATATTTATATTGACTCTACAAATATTAATAAAGTTAATAAAGCCCTTTTTAACTTGTAAAATAAGTCTATATTCTTTTAAAATTGTAATACTCATCTTGTAACACTCCTCTTCAATTGCCTTGACCAGTGCCAAATCGAAAAACTGTCTCTTGTATCTTTGAGAAATGTTATACAGCATAACTATTTTTCTAGTGACAATCTGTCATGTTTGCCCTATCTCTGAATTCAACTATACTACCTGTTACAGTATACAGAAAGTCTATAGACATGTACTAATTACATGATATTTAGCATTATGAACATGTACTGATTACATGATATTAATTATTACATAATTATTTTATAAAGTAGCAAACTCAAACAAAAATGCATTTTTCACTTTAATTATCTATATCAATTAATTCAAGCTGCATACAATAAGGCATATTGATATAATAATTAAAAATGACTTAGTGTCTGATAATAAGGCAATCCAAAACCTGGTAGATCTTTTTTGACAAGATAATTTTAACATTCTTATCTAGGATTCATGACAATAGCTGTAAGTCGAAAATCTGAAATAAACAATACAAATTTTAGATAATTTTTAAATATAAAAATAAAAATGTCAAATTTTAGCCAAATAATAATGTTGCAACCAATATCAGCATAAAATTTGTAATGAGTTTCTTTAGAATTTTATATTTGATAATGCTAATATTGATTAATTTGTCTTGTTTTATATGTAGTAAACATTAAAAGCCACATAGTCTACTTTGAAAATCAGTTAATAGATCATGCTATAAATCAGTTTATAGACTGATCTTTAGGACCAAAACTGGATTAAGTCATCCTATAATAAGTCATTTTCAATCACTGTCTTATTGTATACAGCTTGGATTGATTGATTAGTTAATTAAAGTAAAGTCTTCGATAATTGCACTTTTATTTGAGTTTGTCACTTCATAGAAAATAGTTATATAATAAATTAATATCACATAATCAGTATGTGTCCATAATCAGAAAGTCTATGAACATGTACCAATCATATGAGATTTCACATTATAGACATGTACCAATCATATAATATTAATTTATTACATAACTATTTTACAAAGTAGCAAACTCAAACAAAAGTGCACTTTTCATAATAAATTATTAAAAATTTTATTTTAATTATCCATATCAATCAATTAAAGCTATGTACAATAAGACACATTGATACAAAAATTGAAAATAATATATTATCAGATGATAAAGCGATCCAAGACCTGTTAAATCTTTTTTGATAAGATAATTTTAATATTCTTATCCAGGATTTACAACAATAGCTATAAGTCAAAAATCTGAAATAAGTAATATGAATTTTAGATAATTTTTAAATATAAAATAAAGATGTTGAATTTTATGCCAAATGATGATGTTGCAACCAATATTGGCATAAAATTTGTAATAAGTTTTTTTAAAATTTTATATTTGACAATGCTAATATCGATTAATTTGTCTTTTTTTATATATAGTAAACATTAAAAGCCACATAGTCTACTTTGAAAATCAGCCAATAGACTATGCTATGGATCAGTTTATAGACTGATCTTTAGGACCTAGACTGGACTAAGTTATACTATAATAAATCATTTTCAATTGCTGTGTCAATAGTTAATTAAAGTAAAGTCTTTGATAATTTATTTTTATTTTTGAGTTTGCTACTTTGTAAAAAATAGTTATGTAATAAATTAATATTACATGATCGATATGTGTTCATAATATAAAATCTTATGTGATCAGTACATGTCCGTAAACTTTCCAGTCCATAATGCTAAATATCATGTGATTATTACATGTCTGTAGACTCTCTGACAGTATAGATCAGAAAATCATATGACTGTGCCTTCAATTATTGGTTACACTTTATGAAATCTTATTGATGCTAATTATACAAATAATATAATTACATCAAATCAACAATAATAATCAAAACAATACCTTTTGTTTTTTTTCATTATTTTTTTTTATGCTTTTATTTTTTTCTTACACTTTTTACACTTATGTTTACATAAAAAACAAACTTTTTATAATATAAACTTTTCATTGTAAATAGATTTTATTTTAAAAAATATTACCTCAGTTCATTGATACATACAAGATAATATATCATAGATGTCTAGGTTGTTTTTACTGATAGATACTGTCAATATGTCTGCAGAACAAGTGAAAAAAAACTTGCTTTTCTGGCAGGTCTATTAGTGAGAATTACATCTGGTTTATGATACAGTAACTGAATAATTGCTATTAATTGTATGTGTCTACTCATGATTTTTTAACCAAAGATCAAAGATAATAGAAGCACTTCAGGCCACAACTCATGACAGTCACCAGTTAGGCATTGGGACCTATGATGAACAGCTTGTTGTGAACATCTATTTCTTCTTCCAATGATTTTGAAGGTTACTATTTCAGTTAGTATTTAATTTCTCATTTGCAGGACTAACTAATTAAGGTAATCACTCCTTAAGAGGGTCGGGTAGACGGAAATTAGGTATTAATCGGTGTAGATGGTGAATGGATGCATAAAATCAAGCAACTGGAAGCTCTTCGCGGCCACAGTAACTTTGTGGCCACAGTTACTGTGAACGTCCTTGTTTGGTTTTTCAATTATTATGTAATTTATTTACTTTTTTTTTTTTTTTTTTTATACCGGTATAATAGGTTATATTATGCGAAATAACGAAAATCCTCAAGACCGACGAATTCAAAATTACAACTTTTATATAAAAAATTAATACTTTTTTTTTGAAAATAGTTTTTTTTAAATTTATGTAATTTTATAAATTTATGTTAAAAATTTATAAACATTGAAAATAAATAAATCGAGATCATCGTTTATTACTTAATAAATTATTATAAAATCACGAAAATTCTCAATCTTATGTATTTATATGAATATTTGAAAGAAATATTTTTAGATTATCGAATCGAATTTTATATACTAGTTTTAAAATTAATAATATAGAATTTTGCGCATGCGAGAACATCTAAGAACATTAAAGAGTGAAACAAATTATTTTCTACTAAATAGCTTTAATAATAATAAAAACTTTATGAAACATCAAATGCAATTCCGATTTGTTCAATTAGGTTCAGTATTGTTAAAACTGGTTCCGGACTTATAACGGTTTCCGTTTTCTAGTATAAATACATATCTAATACCCTATTTAACTATCAGAAGACTGATATACCATCAATATACCATTACAGTAGGTCAATTAACAATAAACTTTATATTCAAAACACACTTCAGTTATATATTGATTTGGCAACATACAAGTGACATAGTGAAAGTATTAGAGGAAATCTAATGATTCGAAGTCCTAATACTAAAACTGGTTATTCGAGTGTAATTTTAAATCTAAAGCATAACAAACTTGTTCAAGCAGTGCAATTATATGTAATAATTACGCAATAAAAATACGTAACTTCTCATAAGAAAGAAAATCTCTTAGACTCTCAATTTTATTTTAATCCTATATATTTCATCATTATTCACGACAATAATTATGTGTCAATACACGATTAGTTGTGTAATTTATAATCCTAATTCCAGGACTCGCACGAGATTTGCCACACGCATAATTCATAATTTTACAACGACCGGATCATAATTCTGAACACTATCACTTTATAATGGTAACCGTTATTATATGAGCAAACCTTATCAACATTTAATCAAAAAATGCTTATCCTAGCACTCCTTGTATTAACAATACATAATCCGAAGAATTTATCAAATAATTCGATTATTAATCTATTTTAACTAATTATCTATCATACATCAGATGTTCAATCGATAAATTGATAAACAATTTATGGATGGAAACACTAACACTACTAATCATATTGGATATCAAATGCGGATTTCAAATCTAATAACCTTAATGCATGTTCTACATGCATCACCAAATTATGCTCTTTAACAACCCTCTCTAAAGCTACATTTTCCCTTTTATAGTCCTCAATTAACCCCGCCAATTCTTCTTCATTAAAGTCAGGAAATCGTCTACGAAGTTGCTCTTCAGTGCTTGCAAAAAATGCTTCTGCAGGCGGACAAAACCATTGAATTAATGGGATGTCTATTATTAAATAACAATAGATTGATTGTAAAAAATTAAACATAAAGTAAATGATGAATTATTATTTTAATTAACAATGTCAATGATTAAACACACCAGCAGTTTGACTGACAATATCCAACGTATGATAAACGGCTGTTCCCCTGATCTGTTCGTTCAAATCTTCATCGGACATATCATTAGTATTTGATATGAAGTCCCATCTATAAACATTCAGAAAAGTGTCAAAAATATTGCAACAAAAGCTTTGTGCGAATGTAAATGCCTACCTATCAGTTATGTATATCCTTCTCCATATTGTTTGTAATATTGCGCGACGACGATCATCAGGTAACTACAACCAAGAGATAAACAAATGTGAAGTCGTTTTTTAACAATACAATTTGATAAAAGCGTCCACAAACCTTTTCATCGTTTAACGTAAACTGTAAAGTAAATGGAAAATCATCTTTTTCCTTCTTCTCTTTGAGAGTCAATACTTCAATTAACGCTTCTGTTGAAAGCATTTCACCGTTCAAAATATATGGCACATATTGCGCAAACACCTAGAATCATCATTAATATTCAATTTATGTTTATTATATTTAGCAATTATACGTCAAGTTAATAAATTACCTTTGCGTGCATTGGTCGATATTGTTTGAGATTTTTGGCAGCGTTGTCCACAATCACGTCTACTTGTTTACTTTCATCTACAGTTTGATCCGTAGAAGTAATAATTTCGACAAATTGATCTTGAAGTGCGGTGTATGCGTCAATTAGTTCGAACCCATTTTCAATTCCTAATGAATCAAATAAATTGGTAAACAGACAAATAACGATAAATAGAAATTGAACATTATACTTGCCTTCCATATTACATTGTACATCCTCATTTTGAGTGTCCACTTCATCGTTTAAGCCGGCCAAGAAAGTTAATTTACTAATGCTGAGAAAAGTCTGAAAGATTACTAGACTTAATAATTATTCTATTTTGAAAATTTATGACGAGAGTTAAAAAAAAAAAAAAATGGTTACCTTTCGTTTGTTAACACGCATTTCTTTTTGAGCCAATAACCGCAATTTGATTGATGCATCATTATAATTCTCCATGTATATATCGTGCATCCAAGATATTCCACCTAAATTCCGTTCATTTAGAAACGTTCTAAGCCATTCTTGATGCTCAGAAGTATGAGACTGAATTAATAATAACAAATCCGCATATCGTTCTTAAAATAAATACATAAATGAGTTTATGGAATAATTATAAAAGATTTAATAATGCCGTATATACCTTTTTCTATATACCATTCGTATAATTTAAAGGCGAATTTTTCTTGATATTTTTCCATATATATTGTAATATGATCATTAATGTTGTCCCCTGATTCCATAATCAAATCAACTAATGTTTTATAGTCTTCATAAGACTCGCTTAAAGCGAAAGCTCGATCACTTCTACCGATAGAGACTAATATTGGATATTAATAAAGGTCCATAAAATGATGTTTAAACTCACAATTCTGTAAAATTTAAGTTGAAAACCTACCCAGCTTTTTTAAAATGTTTGACCACTGGTCACGATAATTCTGTGCATAACTTCTAGTCCTGACGTCATCACTGTAGAAATCAACTGCGTTAAAGCTCAAGTTTATAGATAATGTTCTTCAATTATAATTAATCTTTACCAGATCAATCGTTCTGTAGTTGCTCCAAGTAGTATATCCGCCAAGTTAACCATTTGATCTTTAAGCGTTTCTATCCTAGTGTCTTTCGTTTGAACTTTATTATAATCATTAACTCCTTGGCCGGTATATTGAAGTGAGTCATTAACCGTCTGACTAGACTGTTGAACTGTGAAACTTCGAATTGCAACATCGGTTTCTTCAAACTGCTGATGAATAACTTTTAAAAGCTCAGGTTGAACTATAAATTAGTAATAAAAAGATTTCTGTCAATAAAAATTAAATACAAATACAAATGCCACTAAATATTAACTTACATGTCCAGGAATCTTTTGATTCGTTCGAAGTTATTGCGTACAATTCTTTATTCATTCTTCTAAAATCAAAAGCCGCTTCGAAAGCAAGCTATAAATAATGCATATATGAAATTAATCATAATTATATAATCACGTCAAATCAACAAATTCCGAAATGCATTCTTAGTATTACCAGTATAATAGTATTTGCCTCAAAGACCATTATATTACGGTCATCAGCATCCATATAATTCTCTATTACACGTTGAATGTAAGTGAAGATAGTACCAAGATCACGCACCTGAAATAAAGTGGTTAATTAAATGCTCTCAAATTATCCTAACCAATCAAAAAATAATACATACACGGTATCGATAAAAAAACCTGGCTAAATCTTCATTTTGGGATTGAAAGTTACGGTCCTGGAAATATCCATAGATAGCACCATTTAATAATTTTCGGCAAGGTCCCTCTGCTCCATCCTGCAAAGGTCTTTCAATTTACGAGCCAAGAAATTAATGAATGAGCAATATTAAGTAGTAATACTATCAGGATTATTTATCACTTACGAATAAGACGCATTGTGGTGATTCCATAACTTCTTCACACATGCCATCTTTTCCGCATTCCAAAACAATCGCTGCCGTGTAGATGGATGTAACTAGAATTACGACAAATGGTTTAAAAAAACCGAAAATGGGGTTCAAAAGAAACAAAAAAAATAAGGATGTAACACATAAAGTCAGACCTTTTTATAGTCGCCAGGTTGGAAATAAAATCTGGTGATTATAAAAAATTGTGACATAAAGTTCAAATTGTATGTAGCTAGGACTAAGGTTGTACTATATTAAGTGTGCCTATAGTTAGGTCTGACTTATTTTCATTGTGTAAAGTTCTTACCTTGTCAATAACATTACTGTTGCGAATGAACTGAATAAGTAATGCCATTTTATTATGTCTCTCATGCAATTGTGATTTGAGATCAACCGATTCATCTAAATATTGTGAACCTGTAATAAAATTATACTGTAAGTAATACATAATTATGCAAAATAAAAAAGTTTATATTAATAAAATAATTGTTAATTACTAGAATCTAATATTTCATCACTAAGTTCGAGAACCACTTTATTGATGTCGCCTTTAAAATCTGACGATAAAGTGCATGACACAGGGACCTAATAATTTTTTAAACCTTAAAAAATAAACCCAAATGGAAATGCATATATAACTCGAAATATTTACATTGTGATCATTGTTACGAAAAATTGCTTGCTCAAATATAAGTTTCAACTCTCGATTTCTTTTAGCCTGTAATAAACATTAATGGTTATAATAAAAATATCTTAATTTTGTGAAGCTTGTTATACTATTAAATACCTGAGAATCTTCAATATCCATTTCTTCTTGAGATCTAATAATGTACTGGAAATATGAGCCAAGTTTAAATAATAAATAAATAAATAACAATTCTTACTGTAAAGGTGCACTTTCTTCTATTATTTCTGAAATATTCAAACGACAACTCATGACACCAGTTTTTGTTGTTAAAATACGCATTTCACTAATATTATCAATAGTATCTCTAGGATGCCACGACTTCGACCCTTCTGCACAAAATCCAATTATTATGTCATTTATCGGGTCACACATAGTTATAATGTTTGTGTAGTTTACATCTATATATATTAATTTTGATTATGTTATTATACATATACCAATTGTTGGAAGTCAAACCACCAGCCAAGGGTGTAGGGTGAATATCTTTACAGTTTAAACTGATATAAATTTCATTTCATATCTTTGAATATTTAAGAAATCTGAATAACTCAAACAATAATAGTAGTTCATGAAATATTTACATATCATAATGCTGACTGACTATTTCTCTTGGCTGATGTATTTGAATTCTGAATCGACCCATATAAAAAGTTTAACATTTATAAAAATAATAATAATACAATCAATCAATAAAAATCAGGAAAACATTGATTATTCTAATAAGTTTCCTGAATTTTATTGACATTCTCAAAAATACCAACCTACCAAAATAGTAGTGGCAATTACAGCTTGAGGAAAAATCACAAAAATACCAGGTCCACCATTGGGCATAACTAAATTCACCCTTGGTCCAAGCGATACATTCTAAAAATCAATAATTTATAAATTCGAATGGAATTGAAGATAGTTTTAAAATGAAATCAGATAGAAGCTTACACTTTGAACTTTTAATGGGTGACATTTAGTGACACTATATTGTCCAGTGTTTGATTCTTGATCAACAGTATTCAATATTACCAAGAAATATGTTAAATCCTTATTCTGATCAGACACAGGTCGTCTTGAGCCAGTAGGACGGAAACAAGAATTACCAATTCGCCATTTCTACCAGTATTTGAAAAGTTAGAATATTTGCATTAAATAATATAACGTTCTCGAACTATTATTTTACTTGATTTATTTACTTTGCGAATTCAATATCTAATAACTGGACATCTAATGGATTTGATTCAAAAACACCATCACTAATATAAACTTCTTGTGCGATAATTTCATAAATATCTTGGCAGAATTTATACTTTAAAAGTTTTAATAAATTATGTGGCAAAAAAAATGAAATGTTAAACCAAACAATGAATGATCATTAATGCATAAAACAAATTTAAATCTGATTGTGACTTGTATCTTTACCTTTGGCGCAATACGTGTTCCAGAGAGAACCCATGTTTCTAATGATTTTTCCAGCAAGACA